TTTGGAGGTGGCAGGGGGGATCTGTGGTCCTGGGGAGGGTCATCGGGTTAACAGTGAGATGGACGGAGGTGTTTATTGGACCGAGTAGGACACCGAAAACTCTCTAGCTGTTTTATGACCTGAACTCTTAGTCACTCTATGCCCTGAATTCTCTGACCGGACCAGAGCAGCCTCCACATCCGACCCAGTTACGAGACTCTCCCAGGGATCAGCGGTTCTGAGGCTAAGCGACACGCGCAGGGTGACCGGTGGCCCGAGGCCCATCCCGTTCTGGCCCGCTCGGAGCCCGCTGGACAGAGCCGGGCTGGAATGACTTTGATCTGCGCCTCGCACATATGGAAGCAATTTCTGGCATTCCAGCGAGATTAAAGCATGTTTTGAGAAGCCTTTAGACGGCCTCATTTTCTGGGCACGGTGAGTAAAGTTTCAAAGAAGGTATAGATTTGGTTACTGTTAATATGGTCGGCTGGTGGAGTGAAACGCAGGTCACGGGACAGGCAGAAGCTTCTGGAAAGCCCCTGTCATTTTCTCTCACCAACTGTGTGGAACTTATTTTGTTTCTTTTGAAAGCATAATGAATTGCTTCTGAAAAGTTAATAGCATTTGGGGAGCGATACAATCACCTCTCCTATCCACCATCATGCAAGAAAAAAAATATTTGGCTGTCAGATGATTTAGACTCTTAAAGGATTGTTTTTGCATGCTATCGTCACCTGACATGCTTAAATGCATGCGAGTTCAACTTTTGGGGTAATTCCAAGTTCATGTAAATTTCCCACTGTGGAGGAACAAGTGTTTTTTCCCCCAACATATGAATTCACTAGGAATGTTGGGTAGAATGTTCTTCGCTCTTTGCCGCAATAGAAACAATCCCTAAAGAAAGTCTCTTTGCCCAGAAAGGGCCCAGCGCCCATGTGACTCGGCCGTGACTCGGTCGTGTGACTCTTCCTGAGATCCCCCGCAATTAATCGGCTCTGATAAAATAAAATAAACTTAGCAAGTTTGGATATTTCCTCGTCACACTCTGATCGTGAACCCGCGCCCAGTCTGCCTAGGGCTGCCACTAAATCGGTGTGTAACTGCAACGGGGCTGTTTCTAAATGCCGTTTTCGGGTGGGGGAGGGGGAGTCGACATGACTGTCATGTCCTCGCCGTGACTCCTAGAGGAATTCTGCGATTATTTCCTTCCCACATCGTTCGGTCACTAAAATCCAAGCCCTGGAGGACCAACAGGGGGTTAGACAGAGAGTAACATTATTTTCTATCTCTCCTCATAAACAGCCTGTTTACTTCACCACACCTCTGCCCTACATGACACAGGTATTGTTTTTCTCTGCAGCATGTTCCACCGTTGTAAATTACTCCAGTCTGTTTCGTGAGCTTTCCCCTGAATGTTCTGGAGATCGTATTTAACGCCGGAGTCTTCTCTGACAGGTGAGGGGAAATCGTAGCGGAGAGCTCAGAACAAAGGATGTTCACAGGTGTTGGCTCATGTTCCTGCAGTTATTCATGTTTGAATCAGACTTATTCTGCTCCTGTTAGTTACCTGTCTGAATCACAGTGCCTCATTACACATCACTATGAAATGAATGATTTGTAGAAGTGCAGTGGAATTGGGTTGTTTTCACATATCTTGCTGTCCTTGTTTTCTTACCCATCCATCCATTTCCCATAACCGTAAAGAAACTGTGACTTTTGTTCTTTGCTGGGTCCAGAGCAGAACCTACCCCACATGCAGCAGGAGCATAAGGCCCACACATGCACATAGGGATGTGACAGGGGCATAAGGCCCACACATGCACATAGGGATGTGACAGGGGCATAAGGCCCACACATGCACATATGGATGTGACAGGGGCCAGAGTGCCAGAAGAAGTCCTAACTGCACAAGAGTTCATCCGGGATTTGAACCCGGGACCTCTCACATCCTAAGCCAGTGTTTCCCAACCCAGTCCCATGGGACCACCAGTCCACATTTTTGCTCCCTCCCACCTCCCAAAACACCAGGTATTTGGTGCTCCTGATTGGCTGGCAGCTGGGAAGGAGCAAAAATGTGGCACCCCGAGGACTGGACTGGGAAATACCAAAAAGCATGCAGTGGATTTACATCCCCAGGGTTGAGGGTTTGACTCCTATGCTCAGACTTGCGTGAACCATTTGTATGCCATCATCATAAGCTGATAACTAGGAAAACACGTATTTGTTTTAACACAGGAATGACATTGTGATACAGCGAAACCCAAAACCTCTGCCGTGAGGTCCAGTGTTGGGAAAGGAGGGGTCAACTCAGGCCTGGTCTGGACGGCAGGGCCCAGCGGCCTCAGGGTGGCGCTGCAGCGATATCTGAGTGCGATCTGGACCCATTTGTCCTGCCAGGACCGGGACGCAGGTGACAAAACCCAGAGCGGTTGTACAAATCTGAGCACTGATGAGAAGCAGTGTCTCCTGCTTCATTAATACCTGTACTCCCCCAGGAATGTGAAGGCGAAAGAAACAGCATAGCGACAGGCCGGGCCAGTGTCTCCACGGAAACGTTTGTGCTTGATGTAGGAACACTAATGTCCTGTTTGTGACCACAGGCTTACATTAAAACCCTGGTAATACAACGTCTGTGATAGCAGAAATCGTCTTTCAAAATATCTCTGCCTTATTCATCTTACTGCAGTACTGAATATAGAATACTTTGGTAATATCACTGCCACACTTACGGTAATGGCACTCTTTGTTGTATCAATGTCTTTAAAACATAATTTTATTCATAAGCGTATTGTTATGAAAAAAGCCTTTTATAGAAAAACTATCATTGCAATATAAGGCTCGGTCCTGCATTTTAATGGCAATGGCTATAGTAATGAAGAGTCGAAAAAATGTATATAGATAAGAAGATTAGTGACGCTTTCCCGCTGCATTTAAGAGTACCAGAAGAGTGGCTTAACCAGAAAGTGTGAAATTAGGTAAATCTGATTGCGAGCTGGGAAGTTGTACATTCTAGGATATGTAGTTGATGTTCTCCAGCATATAGGGTTGACTTTTACCTCAGTGCAGAATTATATTGTTATACATTTTATGCGAAACTCAGTTACTTAGTTGAGACTTTCCTGACGCGGCATCTCTGTGCCGTTGATTACAATAAAATAGTTTGATTTCTAATGCATGAGCGGTATCCCTAGAAAAAAAAAATATTCATGATCGCACTTTTTTTCCGTCTCGGAAACCTTTTTTAAATTTTGAGAGTGCGGTTTCTTCCCCGAAGCCGTGTAATAATTCGTGACACGGGTGGAGGTGTTGGCAGGAACAGAGAGAGACTTGCTGAGCAGCAGGAAATGAGAGCCGGGCGCAGCGTCCCGGACCTGTTCGCTTTCGGGGGGGTGGCTGCGCTATTCAGGCCTTTGTCCGCTAAAACAAAGAGAGCGATCTCTCTCCCTCGCTTTTGTTTCTGCTCTCACAAGAGGGCTGAAAGATTCATTACAGCCATTTCCCAGCCTGCGTGTACTCCGCGCGGTTCTGCCTGTTACTTACCGTTACAGCAATCCCCCCCGGATCCACGCCGATGGCGGTATGGGAATGGGCGCCGGAGCCCCGGCAGGTTTCATTACACCCCGACGCCTGGGCCGCGCTCCGCAACTCATTCTGTTTCTCGCCCAGCGATCAATAATTTCACAGTCTTACTTGGAAAAAAAAAAAAATCATTAACACGGAATATTCAGAGATATGCTTAGAAAATTCCAGAGAATTCATATAATTTTCTTTCGAGTGTGGCTAATATGTTTGCCATATAAATTATACATTCCCTATTACTTATAAATGATAAAGTCATAATATTGCTCATATTCTGAAGGACTGCATGAAATGATTAACGTCTTATATTAAAGAAACTGTTTATTTGAATGTGAAGCTTTATCTGGTTAATGTCCATCCATCCTCCATACTTTCCAGTGGCTTTGCAGTGGAAAAAAAAAGGATAATTTCCCCGCAATGTGATATGATTATCTTTGTTTAAAAGCCGAATGTAGTGCTGTTTACTGTGTCTGCTCCCATCGTTTAACTCTCATCCTTCAATGACAAGGGTTTCCTGTATTTTCTTTCCAGTTGCTTTTTGTGCTTGTTTGAAAAAACTGCGATTAGCTGGTGAAGGCAGAGAGGTTTTGTGACTGGAAGCATTACTCAGAAATATTAGCTACTTTTATACATCCAGTGGCATGCAGAGTTGTGTTATTGCGAATAAGATGTGATTTACAGTAGTTATTCATTTTAGAGTAACGTTTTTCAGAGAGAGTTTGGATTTTTGTAGGACATCTCCTTGACAGGGGACGATTTGACAGTCTAATTAAAAAACACATCCATGTCCCCTCCCCCCCCCAAGGGTGGCACAGCGGCTCAGTGGACATGACTGTTACCTCACACCTCCAGGGTTCTGGGGCTAGACTCCCTCCCCAGCTCTGTGCGAGCTGTGCTGCTTTCCTCTGCGCATTTCCAGTCCTCCATAGACATGCAGCTGGGCTAACTCTCATCTTTGTGGGATGGACCAGCATCCCATACTGGGGCTGTTTGTGGCCGCTTACTGGGACCGGCGTCCGGTTCCCTTTGACCCCATACTGTATAAGCAGTATGCAAAATGGATGCTGTTTTGTTCCTAATTGACGAGATGTCGCAAATTTGTCATTGTAGCACACACTGTAACACAATGGCAGTTACCTTTAAATTGAAATTCGAATGCAAATGGGACACCTTCTGGAACGTGGTTCCTTGTTATTGTCGTAATACTGCTGATATTATATCCCCAGCTCTACCATACTTTCTTTTTTCCCTACTTGCGGGTTGTGATTGTAGCATCATCTAAATGTAAAATATTATGAGTCGGAGCAGTAATGACCGTGACAAAACAAAAGACTAGCTATAACAAAATGATATGCTGTTGATTTAAAAAGGTCAATTTCAATTTTAATGGAAAAAAAAATGTCCCTTGAGTTATGACGCATCATGTGAGGCAGAGTCATAGGTGCTAAATAAGAATGTATTTCGTCACGGGTTTGGTCACGTGTTTGTGTTGGGCTGTTTAATGGCTACAGAATACGTACTTTACCTGCTGGCTTCCAGTGTCCATTAGGGTGCAGTGAGATTATGAGAAGCGCTGCAGTGACTGATTGATGTGCATGTTACAAACATAAATAATCGCACAGTAGAGATGAAGGTCATGGTTTGATGTCATAAAATTATCCTTGCTGCTTCTCACGCTTGTCTGTTTTTTTTGCTGGGAAGCCTACTGGGATGTACAGGATGTCTTATGCACAGTGTTTTATTAGACAAAGTGCTCCTGATGGTGCCTGATTCTTTTGTTGATGGTGTTTTTTGAAGTTCACTTGGGTTCTGGTCTCTGAAGGAGCCGGGGGGGGGGGGGGACGCGCCTTTTGTTTCCTGAAAGGTAGTTTGGTCTTCAGTTCCTCACTTGAGTCTTATGCATTTTTTTGCTGGGTTTACTTTGCCTTTTTCAAGGTTTATCTAGAATCTTCTGAATGCTGAACGGGAGAATCTTCATACCTGAGAGTCTGCCCTAAAATCCGTAGGATATGGTCCGAATCAAACCGCTGAGTTTGGTTTTGTTCTATAGCAGATTGGGTCAGTCTGGTTGCCTTCAGGTTGCATTCCAAAGGGCTACATGGTATGTCCTCCCCAAAAACGTGAAGCGCTTCCTTTTTAGAAGCTGACCATGAATGAACGAGGACGTAAAATGTGAGGTGGTACACAAGCATAACCTCCAGTGCCGTCACTCTGTCCATGTGTGAGGAATCATGGGATGGGAATTTAGTAGAATAACAACATGTTATTCGTCGCCATGTGATAATTCCCATTTGTTTGTCCCCTCCAGCCTTGCGTGAGACACACACAGGTGAATGTGAGCCTGGGAATAGCAGCCAAGTCAGTCACTGTTCACTCTAAAGCAAGTGAGGCCTGGTTCAAGGGATCAACGTCTGCTGTGGATTTGATACGGAATTCGAACCAGCAACCTTCTGATGGTGGGCACATGGTCCCAACCATCTGAGCCACACAACACCTAATTTAATGGGATCAGTGGTGTGGAGACCCGGCGAATCCATCAGTCATCTCCACTTATACCTATAAAGGGACACACTATGTTAGTGATAATCACTTTAAAACATAATAATGATGATGATTATTATTATTTTTATTATTATTATTGCTCATCCATTCATCCATAACAGCTCACTTTGTTTGGGTTGTTTGGGGTTACTGTGACCCCAGAGGAAACACGAAGCATGAGGCAGGAAACACCCTGGACAGGATGTTAATCCAGCACAACACATATTATTGTTATTATTATACAATTTAGATGACACTGGAAGCATTCTAGGCATTCTATAATAAATGGCAGTGTTTTTGTTCTGCTATATTTAGTTTTTAAAACCAGCATAGGAAAATTTCAAGTAATAAAATTCATATTTATTTATGATCTTGCTGCCTACATTACAGGAAATGTATTCCCCGCGTGGGAGATTTCAGGTCATGACGACACCAGGCTGGAACATATGAACATATTTTTTTTCATTTGATTAAAATAAAGTTTTCATGGGAAAAATAATGCACTCACCTTTTTTTAGCGTTTGCTTTCAAACCGAGACAATCGCTGTTATATATTTATCCGTTTTAATTTGTAGCCACAAAAGCTGTGGTGTGAGTCTGTCGGATGCGTCTGCATTGTGGAGGAGATTACAGGCAAAGGGGGCTTGAATCAATTATTTAGGCTGAAACGAAGAGTACAAAGGCGGCGCCTCGTTTGCCTGCGGAGAGAGAGAGAGGGAAATTAGGTCAGTTTCATAATATTCTGCTGGGATCTGAATACTGAGGCTCAGTGAGATGGACAGTCTAAAACAGGCAGACGCCGGACCGTGCTATTCTAAAAAGAAGCATTGCATTGTGGGGGGAAAACACTGCATACACACCGTGTATGGAAACACTGTTACGCCTCGTTGGGTCTGTTTGTGCAGTTGCTGAAATTTTATCTGGTTTTATCTAAAATTTTAATCCCACACTTTGAATTTTGTTGAGTTTTTCCGTTTCCCTTTAAAGGCAGCGCTCGGATCAGCCTGTGCGTTTTCAATGAGGCGGAGGAAATAAAATCTGAGGCCTGGGTTTGTGGAAGGAGTTCACCCAGACGGCAGGACGCGAGAGGCCAAGAGGTCCCCGGGAGTTCAGAGAAATTGATGGCATCTCCATGTGGCGAGTAATGTTTCAGCCGTACACCTAATTACATCATTACCAGCATGTGCTTTCAATGAGCACCCTCGAAAAAACCCTTCAGGAGACATCTCCAGCATTTGGTGAAGGTGGTAAGATAGTGAGTGTCCGGTGATCCCCCTTCTAGCGCAGTCAAAGGCTGGGAGGCCCCAGGACCTTTTAGCATGATAGATAAAGGCAAGGAGCATGGTACTGAGGGGGGGGCACACAAGGTATCTTTTAGGGTATTTATGGTAATGCAGTGATGAACAATCACGGAAAAAATTACCTACCAAAAACTTAACGCAAACCAATAAAACTTTATTCATAAAAGCATGAATTTTATCCATGTTTTTTAAAACAAAAGTTTATATCTGACTTTTTAAAACGCAGTCAGACAGGTGGGCATGACTTTATGCCCCTACGTCCGGATGTTTTCTTTATGGAAATTTGTCCTTCGACTGCACACTGTGGTCTTTTGTGTTCGGGCATCTGCTAGTCAGCCTGGTCCCAGTCAGGACCCCGGTTAGAACCCAGTTTTAATGGTTATGCGCAGATTTAATTCACCATCGAGTCTAGATATTTGTGTGGGGGCCTGATTTGCAACCCCAACATACCCTCGAGGGACACTGGCACAGTGTTGACTGTATCCTATTGTGGGCCGGTGGCGTGACCTTCTGCAAGCGTCGTCCGTACACATGTCACTGGTGTCCCAGAGCACTTCTGCTCTCATGCAGATAAACACCCATCCACTCCGTTCCGCTGAAGCGGACGGGATTTTGCAGCAGAATTCCAGTAACGGAAACACTTCACCTTTACAAAATGTTTTGTGCATTGAAAAACAGAACGTCACACGCAATAACGTGTGCTCGGCATTTTGTTTGGGACATTTTCTCAGCGTCCATCCTGATATTTAAATTTCTTGAAGTTTTTTGGATTTCGGCCGTCCACGAATGTGCCCGAATAGAGAATTTCAAAATTGATTTTGAGAGACATCGACAAAAACATTCAGCCGGAGCACAGCATTGCCTATGGAAAAGGAAATCTAAAAATATGTATTCCAGGCTGAAAGTTCATCTTGGGCAGTAATTTGCTATAAGACACTTTCGGTTTAGGTTAAGGAAGTTCACATCTTTGTTTTCTTCTAATTTTTTCTTTCCTTTCACAACTGACCTTCTGAATAAATCGCACGACCCTGAGGACTGTTTTAAATGTGTCAACACAAGCACAATCGTCAGTCTCCCCCAAGGCTGGAGAGGCAGACGACATTGTCGAGGTGTTTTTCCAGGCGGCGAGGGCAACCCATGAAACAGGAAACCGCTCCGTGCTCCGGCCTCCGCAACTGCTTGAAATCTGCGCTACGTTTTATCGATCGCTTAATGGCTTCGAACCTTTTACAATTTTAAACTCCTGCTGTTTTGTATCACATCCCCTCCGTCAGGGTTCATTCACCACTGCCCTTAATCATCGGTCTTGTTCCTACCCTTCTCTGTCTGTAATTCTTGGGGGAAAACTGTGCAAATAGCTTGGGGTGGGGGAGGGGCAAAGCCAGGCTGGTCGGGTTAGCCAAACGGAATACTGTGGAAAATATGTTCAACCAAAATAGGCAATATAATTTAAGAATAACTGTTGACTTTTTGCAGAGAATGCACAACTGATGCCGGGCTTCAGTTAAGCATCCCGTAATGTGTAATTATAAGGTCAAGTACCATTCAGGAAACTAGTGGTCTTTAAAGCTTTCCATTAAAAAAAAAAAACATTTTTATGGTTTGCTTGGAGCAGCCCTGTACTGGCAGCCAGTAACGTTACCCATACTGCATCATTCTATAATGACCTATAAGATCTGGGCGGATAATGCATTTTTCTCTGGACCATATATTCTGCTATATTCTGGTCTTCTTCAGCTTCTCCCATTGGCTGATTTTAACTAAAGTGTGTTAGAGACCTCGTGGGCTTTTATATATGTATTATATTTAGCCTGTTATAAGGTTTTAGTTCAGCCATTTTTCCTCCTCAGACACATTCTGCAGAGATTTAGGGTTTGTTTGTTTCTGCTGCCGCTTTCCCCTCTGGATTCTAAATCTACCCTATAAACCAGTGAAGTCGGAGGTTCACCGTGCGAAACAGGAAAGAACCACTATTTTCCCCCATTCTTATTCTCGCCCAGTCGCTGTTACTAACAAGTGTGACAAACCTGATTGATTCTGGGCCATTTTTGGGGAGGACAGATTGTTTAATCCGGGAGCTGAATTTTGGCAGATGAAATAAAGTCAACCTTGATGCCCACACCCCATTGACTGGCTTCTGTCGTTATACCGCGCCTGAACGGCAGAGGGATGGGAGACGGCTGGGTGCTTATCTCACCATGCCTGAATGACAATGGGATGGGAGTCAGCTGACGCTTCAGATTAATGGCTTTTATCCTTCTCTGTTGCAGAGCGATCGATGGGGGCGCAGGGTAGTCTGGTGACGCTCGTTCATTCGACCGCAGACCTGAGTTTGGGTTGGGGTAACGTCGGTCGAAGCCGGGATCTCGTATCCACTGAATAAACCAGTATCAAGTTATGGCAGTGGTGGAGGCTTGGACCAGCGATGAGTGGCAGGCACAGGGGATAAACGAAGGGAGTTTGTCCCATCAAGCGGCGGCGGCGGGGGGGGGGGCTTATGAGCTCAGCTCAGTGTTACTCAAATGGTGCCTCTGACATTCATCAATCAGTCATTGGGGGGCCGTACCTCATATGCCCTTGGATTGTTTCTCTTAAAACGAATAGACTTCTGGGTTTGAGCAAAGGCGTATCAATCAGCCGGTTGGGTTTGGTTTGACCTCCTGGCCTGCCGTCCAAACACCTATTCAGCTGCTTCCTGAGAACTTTCATTTCAGGGCTCAATGATGCGTTTACCGCGAACGCACAAAGGCTCGGCGTGTTTTTCGGCCATCGTTCGGCAGAAGGGCACAGCACATTCCCGCGTGATCTTGGACCATCGGCGTGGCTCCGTGGGTGGGTCAGGTTTCGGCATGCCAGATGGCCAAAATATCAGTCGGTCGGGACAGGAGCGTACTGTGACGGTGTGGTGACCATGATATAGTCGCAGGCTTGGGGAGGGGTGATTGGGAAGCCCAGGTAGAGAGGCGAGTCCCAGGTGTGCCCAACCTTCTGCGTTGCTCTTGAGTGTGACTCAAGAGGGGCTTTGTTTGACCTTCAGAACACTGTTCACGGGCAAGCTAATGAAAAAATGCTAATGGAGCCAGGTGTCACTGTACCTGCATTCTGTATCTCTGTCTGGAGTGGAGGTTCCAGATGGCCGAAATTATAAACATCATCATTGTGTTATTGTCGTGCACCTGATGCATCTCTTCTGTAGTCATGTGACATGGGCTTTGGGGAATTAGATGTAACCCGGGTCCATCTCTTAAAGTGACCCCGTTCTCATTTTAAGGGTCAGCGCCACACTGTGTAAATTCATGCCACATTTTTAAGGCCTTTTTTCTCGCCCCCGTCGAGATATTTGTTAATTGAGTCTTTGAGTCGGCCTGTGACATCTCGCCAGGGGAGAGAGGGAGAGAGAGACGCAGCTGCGAGCTGAAGCCTCGGGGACAGTGCAGGGACGGGAAACCAGGGACCGTCACGGTCGAGGCTCGTCGCTCAGCACCCTGGGACGCCGCGGGGGAGGGACAATGGGCTGGACCACGGGATGAAGGCTTTGATCGGCTCACCGATTTCCATTTCATAATGAGCCCGGAGAGATGGCATGGCTGATTAGGCAGGGGCCCAACACAGCACCATTTTTAACAAAAATGAACAGAAAGTCATCTCCCCCCCCCCCCCCCCCCCCACTGTCATCTAGTCCGAGGGCCACATACTGAAGCTATTCACTCTTTAACAGTTATGATGACAGTCAGCTTCTGCATTCCTTAGATCCAAAACTGTTACATATTTTTATTTGCAGCATCGTTCAGGTTCACCTGAAGCATATGTTCTATAATCTCGGAAATCCGGTTTCATGGATTCAGTATTTTCAGATTATAGTGATTCAACTATATTGTCATTTATGGTGCTGGGTACAGATACAGAGCTAATGACATGCATCTAACAAGCAGGTGCAAATAAAATATACACAAATACAAAAAAAATACAAATATAAATAAGATTGTATATAATTTTCACATCATAGCCACGTTCCCTGCCCTATCAGAGTCTGGACTAGGTGCTCAGATTATTATACCACAACCGTGTGACTTCAGAGACTGTAAATACAGTTTGCAATAAAAACTGAGGCTGAACATCTCTGAGCATCTTCTTTGTATTTCCGCTTAGACACCATGTGAAAATGGCCTCTTCTAACTGGCGTGGATCACGCTGCCTCCCCAGTGCCAGTTCAGTCACCATCACTGCTCATATTCGAATTTATGCTGCTTTCCCCCGCAGCCACGAAAGACACGGGTGCATGTGTGTTTTTCCTAAATGGGAACACAGCTTGGTCTGTCTTTTATTTACG